CTGGAGGGAGCCGGCCTGGCTGGGTGAGGGCTCCTCAGCCTGTCAGCTCCAAGCTGCCCTCCGTGGCCTTCTCCAGGTGGCTGCCCGGGGTCTTCAAAGGCAGAGACCAGGCAGGCGACTGCTGTCTGCCGAGGACTCTCAGCAGGACCCACTGCCTCCGGATAAAGAAGCTCCTTCCCACGACCCTCCTCACCTCTGTGCGGACTCCCCCAAGTGCTGAAGGTTCAGCTCAGACCTGCTTCATGTTCTCCCACCCACGGATGATGCCCCACGGGCCCCTTCCACGTCCTCGAATGTCCCAAGATCCCTCCAGCCTTAAAGGGTTCCCATGAGAAGCTCCTTCTGTCTACAGCACCCCCACACACACCCCCGTGCTCTTCCCGTTTCTGGGAATTCTTCTCCTCCTTGGCACGGCTGTCCTCAGAGAAGCCTTCCTGGAAACCCTGCCTCTCTCTCTGGACCCACTGTGGCCTTTCTGGGCAGCGATCCCTCTCAAGCACTCCCGCGTTGGTTACGGAGTTCGCGCCTCCCCACCTGGGCCGGCGGCCTCCAGGGTGAGCGCGGTCCTGCTCACACCCTGTCCTCCCCAGCCCAGCAGCCTCTGGCCTGGGCAGGGGGTGCACCGCGCATGCCTGTTGAACCACAGGGCATCAGGGTCAGGCGGGCTCCGGGGGGCACAGCAGGGTACAGGGTTGGCTGGCATCACGGGACTCGGCCAGGGCAGCGCCTCCCGTGGTGGTGCAACCTAAGGGGCCCAGATAGTGTGATCAGGGGGCGGAAGCCTCGGGGTCCAGGATTCTGCCTTGTCTGCTGTTATAACTCCTGGCCTGTTGTTGGTGGTACGCAAACCTCAGTTTTCCCTCCATAAAATGGGATGAATGGTATCGGCTCCCCTGAGCGACTGTGGAGGTTATCTAAGAAAACAAAAGGGAAGCAGTCAGGGAACCCCGAGGGTGACGATGGCCGAGATGAAGTCCACCAGCTCCGTGAGGGCCGCGTGGGTGCAGGAGAGGTTGAGCAGGGGGGAGACGTCACAGAAGACCTGGTTGAGCACGTTGGGGCTGCCATAGGTGCACAGTAGGTGCACACCTGTGATTCCAGCCATTAGGGAGGCTGAGGCAGGAGGATCGCAAGTTCCGGGCTAGCCTCAGCAACTTAGTGAGGTCTTTTGTCAAAATAAAAAATGCAAAGCGGGGCTGGGGCTGGGCTCAGTGGTGGAGCACTTGTTAGCATGTGTGAGGCACTGGGTTTGATTCTCAGCACCACATACAAATAAATAAATAAATAAAAGAAAGGTCCATCAACAACTAAAAGAAAAAATTAAAAATAAATAAGTAAATAAAATAAAAAGGGCTGGGGATGTAGTTCATGGTACAGCACCCCTGGGTCAAATCCCCACTACAAGGAAGGAAGGAGAGAGGGAGGAAAAATTTACACAGAGTCATTAGTTTTGGTAACAATCCAGGTGGCCTTCAGCACTGTACAGTGGACTTTCTCTTGGAGTAGAGAACGCTTCTCATCTCCCTCCTTCTGAGTTTGGTCATCTGGGGGTCAATGGCAACTAGTGGTGAAATTCACCATTTATCAGAGGAGAGAATCGGCGAGGTCACTGTCCTAGAAAGCCACTGGAAGTTTAAGTCCTGATTTCTCCGGGAGGGGACTCTGCCTCCCCTCCAGAAAGTCTTCTTTGTTTAAGATGGTGACAGCGTCTGTCGAGTTTCCCAAGTTTCTGGCATAGAGATGTTTTAACAAACGTGTCCGTCTTTTCTCAGTACCCTGCAAAGCGGAGTCTTTTCCTCGAAGCCCAGGTGCCCTGTGCTACAGTTTTAAACGAAGACATTGGGGCTTTCAAATCATTCTTCCTGGTTCTCTCACCCACACGGTGCCGGGGGTGAGCATCTCACATGTGGCTCTAGGACCTGCCTCTCAGTCGGACCAACAGCCTCAGCAGCACCCAGTGCTCTATGGAGGTGCAGACCTACGACCTCCCCTTTCCCACCAACGGGGCCGGAAGTGGTGTTCACACATCAGGGCTGCATAGCCCTGGCCTGGGTGGAAAGGGAAACCATCCCCAGCAGAGTGGGCGAGACCCTGGTCTCTGGCCAGCAGCATTCCCTAGCCACCCAGAGCTGCGAGAAGCAAGCTTCTCCTGCAAACCACAGTAGGGGCTGATGTGGTCCGGACAGGTGGGTCAGTGCGGTTAACTGAGACGCAGGAACCTCACAATCTGACCATTTAAGCCTCGAAATTATATATAAGTTGTATTTTAATTAGCTTAATTTTTAAAAAATGGAAAAAATTCAAATGATACTAAAGGATAGACGTGAAAAGATGATTTTCCTTCCACTTTTATTCTGCTTTGCAGAAGCAACTGTTTTTACTAATTTCTTGTGTATCTTTCCTAAAATACTCAGGTGGTGAGCTGGCAGCTGCTCGGAACCCCGTGAGGACCACGCGGGCTCTCAGGTGGTCAGTGCAGCGCCCGCGGCCTCAAGGCTGACACTCAGAGCACGGTGCAGAGGTGGGCGGCGGGCAGCAGTCTCCCTGCCCTCGGGAAGACAGCTCTGTCCAACCAACAGCACAGGGTGCCCGGCCCCCAGCCCACCTGTCTTCTGCCTTCTGTGGGGCCGTCACTGTGTGCTGGACAGGCCTCTTTCTCCCTCAGAGGCCCAGGGGCTGTGGCAACCCTGAGCTCCTGAGCACCTGCGTGAGGCCAGGAGAGAAGACGGTCCTGCTCCTGGGTTTCACCAGGTGCCAATGACCGGAGCACGTCGCCATTCACTCCCTCTCACCCCACCTCAACCCGTAGGAGTGTCGCTCTCCCCGTTTTAAAGACGTGGAAACCACGAACCAAAGAGCCAAGCTTCCCCCAGCCCCTCGGCAGTAGGTAGAACAGAGACCCCAGGCCGGCGGCCCAGGACCACGGCCTTCTTCCCCCTCCCTAAGAAGCTTTGGGGGCATTTTATCCTTCCTTCCGTCCCTCCTTCCGTCCCTCCTTCCTTACTTACTTGTTTTTGAAATAGGTTGGCCAAGGTGGACAGTGGGAGTTTTCTCCCACCCCAGGAGGGGAGCACCAGGGCTGCAGGGGCAGCTGAAGGCCCTCAGTGGACATCCCTCTTTGCAGAGGTGGAAACCAAGGATGTTGACACACAGGTAGGGCCCGGCGGCCTGGGCACGGCCCTCCCGGAGCCCACTTTCCCCGTGAGGAGAGCGGGGCCTGGGAAGAGAAGGTGTCCTTGTGCCCGTGTGGCGCTGCCCACTCGCTGGCTGGCAGGCGGAGCCACGTCCGGAGCCCTCTCCCCCGGGTGGCCTTATTCCTCTGGGTGTGGGTTCCCCTGGTCACAGATCTAACCTCAGAATGCAGCCTGCCCCGCGGCAAGGTCAGCCCGTCCACACCGCAGGCTCCCTCCAGTCCTGTGCCTGGAGCCCGCCAAGTCCTGAAGCCAGCGATGGCGTCCACCTGAGACTGGTCTGGTGTGGACAGGGTGGGCCTGGGGGACTGTCCAGGGCCTGGGTGTGGACATGGGGGGCCTGGGTGTGGCCCCAGCCCATGTCCTTGGCACTGAGTGAACCCCTGGGTGGTAAAGAACTCCTCAGCTGCCCTCTTCCCTGCCCGGCCCTCCCTGGGACTCTCCAGTCCCTCTGTCCAGGCTGTCCTCCCCGAGCAGTGGACTCACCTCTGCCCTGCTTCGGTGGTTTTCTTTCTGGTTTTCCCCTCTTATCTCACATAAGAAGCCGAGGTTGACTCTCAAACGCCCCGAGACGGTCAGGACTCTGGCCTGGCCCTGCAAGCGCTGTCCAGCACTGAAGGACTGTCCAAGATAATGCTGAGTGGAGTTAGCCAGTCCCCAAAAGCCAAATGCTGAATGTTTCCTCTGACATAAGGAGGCTGACTCAAGTGGGGTAGGGAGGGGGAGCACGGGAGGAATAAACTCTAGACAGGGCAGAGGGGTGGGAGGGGAGGGGGCAGGGGGTTATTAATGATGGTGGAATGTGATGGACATGATTAGCCAAAGTACAGGTATGAAGAAGGAATTGGTGAATATACTGTGTGTATGACCAGAGAGATGAAAAACTGGGCTATATCTGAGTAATGAGAATCGTAGTGCATTCCACCGTCACATAAAAAAGGGGGGGGCTGGGGATGTGGCTCAAGTGGTAGCGCGCTCGCCTGGCATGCGCGGGTCGGTGGGTTCGATCCTCAGCACCACATTAAAAAAAAAAAAAAGATGCTGTGTCCACCAAAAACTAAAAAATTTTTTAAAAAATGATAAAAAAAGATCAAGAATGCTTCATGAAACTACCCAGGAATCAAACAAACAAACAAACAGCTCTTCAGGAGAAACGCGGTTCCTCCCTGGGTAGAATGAGAACCAAGCCGCAGGTCACAGGAGCCTCCTGCAGGTGACCCGGGCGTGGTGGGCAAGGCTGGGGGAGCAGGCACACCCTGTGGGCCCTTCTCCGTCCTCTCCCCTCCCAGGCTTCCTCGGCGGGCTTCCCTCCAGGGTGGACCCTCCTCCCGCCCGGCTCCCAGCCTCTTACCCCAAGGACTGCAGCAAGCCGTGCTCTCGGGCGGGCCAGGGGTGCCCCCTCGGGCGGGAATCCTGAGCAGTGGCTTGCAGGGTCTGGGACTGCTGCGCCCGGTGCCCAGCGCTCCGGCTCCTCACTCCAGCCTGGCACGTCCGTCCGGAGCCAGGCGCCGTCTGGGGCTGCTGGGTCCCCACAGCCAGTCTGCCAGCAGGGAGGGAGCTTAAGCCTCAGCGGAGCATCCGGGAGACCGCCCTGGTCTCTGTGGAATTAAATGACAGGCAGAAAGATATCTCCCTGGGGGAAGAAGGCAAGGGCACTCCTGGTCTGGAGCCGGTCTTCGGACCTGTAGAGAAGCCCGCGTTGACCGGACGCCTGTTCCGGAACATGCTGTGTGTGCCAAGGACATGAACTGAGTGGGCACTGTCCCTGCTCCCAGGCCTGCAGTCAAGGTGGCCGTGGACACAGCCCAGGGCCAGGGAGGGAGGGAGCAGAGGAAATCACTGGCCAGGGGCCTGTGGAGCCAGGCTGTGCCCGTGCCAGGCACTCGGGCATCGAGCAGGGCAAGAGGATCCCTCTCTCTGCTGACTGCTGCATGGGCCACACTCCCTCTGTGTGGCCTGGGCCCCACACGCCCGGCCCAGGCCAGCTGCCCAGCCTCTGGCCGTGCTGTCCACTGCCTGATTGCTCACACACCTAGGACACCCTATCCACTTCCACGGCCACAGCACGGCCCACTCTGACCCTCTGCTGCAGAGCCTCCTGCCCTCTCCTCCTGGCCGGTCCCCTGGAAGCTGAGTCACAGAGGAGCTGCCACCACCTCCTTTACCTCTCGCCTCAACCCCGTGTCCCTTCCTGGGCCTTTTTACAAGGTGGCCAACCCACCTGATGTGAGGCTCGATGGTCCTAGAGTGTCCGTGGTGTCACGTGCTCACACTGCTCTGCCACCGTCACCCCCGCCCCTCTGGAGTCTCCTCCTACTGCACAGCTGCGGTTCTGTACCCGCCAACAGGACCCTCAGCCCCCTCTGCCTCCCGGCAACCACCTCGGCCTCATCCCAGTGGATCTGACTCCCTGGCCACCCCGTGCAGTGGGCTTCCACGGCCTCTGTCCTTTGTCCTTTGTGGCGGCCAGTCACTTGGCGTGATCCCAAGGGTCCTCTGAGCACGAGTGTTTAGCCCTCTTCTCTTCTCCACCCTTCATTAGTGTCCGTGGGTGGACACGTGGGTTGCGTGCACCTAGGTCCAGTGTGAGTTCTGCTGCTACGACATGGGAGTACAGATGCCTTGGAGACCTGCTCCCAGTTCTGGGGCCCCAAGCCCTTTCTTCTCCTCACCTAAGAGTGAGGCTGTGACTTACCCGGACACTTTGTTCTATTGCCATTGTTTCATTACAAAACTAACATTTGCTTTTTATAAGAAATTTAAGTCTTATGGAAATAAATACAGGTTGAGAATCCCTGATCTGAAAACTCAAAATCTGAAATGCTCCAAATTCTGAAAGTTCTGAGCACCAACTAGACACCAGAGATGGACAAGTCCTCACCATGAAGCCATGTGATGGACAAAGTATGTCACTAGTGGACCAGTCGTCTTCAGGCTCCGTACAGAGCATATGAGAAATGGCTGACCTTGGTTTAGACTTGAGTCCACCCCAAGATATCCATCGCGTATGTATGCAAAAACGAATATCCCAGAATCCAGAACAATCCAAAGTCCAAAACACTCTGGTACCAAGAATTCCCGGTAAGGGATCTCAGCCGTATCCCTTCCCTTCCAGATCAGCCAATCGGAGGTCAAGTAGGAGAGGACTCACCCCTGCCAGAGGTCTTTCTCCACAAAGACATACAGCCACCTACACCTTCGTTTTCCACAAGGAGCCGCACTGTGCACACTCTGTGACAATGTCTTTACTGAATTCGACCACAGTTTGTCTTTCTAGATCCACACATAAAAGTCTCCTTGCCATTTTAACAGTTACATAGTAGCCTACTGCGTGTTATGCATGAGAGGGAGGAGGAAGAGGGGGAGGAGGGAGGGAGGGAGGGGGAGGGACGAGGGAGGGAGGGAGGGAGAGAGGAGGAATGGAGGAGGGAGGGAAGGAGGAGGGAGGAGGGAGGGGGAGGGAGGGAGGAGGGAAGGAGGAAGGAGGGAAGGAGGAGGGAGGGGGAGGGAGGGAGGAGGAGAGAGGGAGGGAAGGAGGAAGGAGGGAAGGAGGAGGGAGGGAGGGAAGGAGGGAAGGAGGAGGGAGGAGGGAGGAGGGAGGAGGGAAGGAGGAGGGAGGGAGGGAGGGATGAGGGAGGAGGGAAGGGGAGAGAGGGGGAGGGAGGGGGGAGGCGGAGGGAGGGATGAGGGAAGGGAGAGGAGCAAGAGAATGAGGGGAGGAGAGAGGGAGAAGAGAGAGGGAGGGGAAGCGGGGAGAGAGGAAGAAGGGAGTGGAGAAAGAGAGGGAGTAGGGAGGAAGAGACACAGAAATCACCCCTGAAGATCAAGTGCCATGCGTGGCTCTGGCCAGGTCACCCAGCTGAACCTGTGAGAGCAGCACCTCCCACAAGGCACATGGCATGAGGGGCCCTGGGCCCGGGGCAGCGGGAGATAACAGGTGTGTTGCCGGGTGGCGTGAGTGACAGGCCTGTTGTGGCCGAGGGACACAAGTTCAAGATGGAGGCTGGCAGTCTGGCTCTTCCTGGGCTTCTCCCTCTGTGTGCGGTGGCCGTCCTCTCTGTCCTCCTGCCGCTGGCCTCTGTACCAGGCCCCAGAGGGCACCCATCTGCAGGTGCTCAAGCCCTTGGTGCCGTGGCCTCCAGTCTGCCTGCCACCCATGTGCCTCCTGGGGGAGGCCATCGTCTGTGGGTGGCTGGTGGGACCCAAGCCGAGGTGCACGCTGCGTAAAGAGCTCTTACTCCGCGTTGGGGGACGATAGCCAGAGAAGCAAGCACGTGCGTGGCCAGCGCTGGCTGCGCCTCCCTCCAGGATGTCCAGCCACAGTGGAATCCGCAGACGCAGAACCCACAGGTGCCAAGGGCCGATGGTGTGTGTCGGCCACCAAGCCTCCAAGGACACCACTCATATGGGACAGGACTCGCCCTCAGGGCCCCAGTTTAACTTAACCAGCTCTTCAAGGGCCCGATCTCCAAGCAGGGTCACGTCCGGAGACTCGGGGGGCTGGGACTGTGGTGTATGAACTTAGGAATGGACGCAGTTCTGCCCACACCACCCAGCAGACGTGGGGGGAAGGGCAGGTGGGAAGGCCTGCAGCGGAGACAGCGGGAGAGGAGGACGGTGTACGTGGCTCTAACTCGGCCGGGGGTGCAGACAGGCATGGGGAACAACTGTAGTGATGTGACATGGAGAACTTGGAGCAGCAGACAGAGCCGCACCCAGCCGTGCCCAGCCCAGCCAGCAGCGTAGTTACCTGCTGTGAGTCCATAGTGCCTCTTCTGTGAGCGGAACCTCGGGTGCACACCGAGCTCCATGCTCAGGACGCTGGTGACAATTCATGTCAGCAAGACCGTGAGGGAGGGCCCAAAGCTGTCAAGCATGACTGTAGGGTGTGGGGTGGACACCTGCAAGGAGAACAACCAAGGTAGCGCTGGTCCACTCCCAAGCACGGCATGCAAACGGCTCCTCTCAGATTCCTCGGGTGGGTTCTGTTCAAGGCGGGCCCTAAAGGGTGGGACAGTAGGGACAACAACACTCCCCTCGAGACGAACAGGTGCTAATACCCACGGCCTCAGTCTGGGCTCCACACAGCAAAAGGGACTTTGCAGTGTGACCGAGTTAAGGGTCTCGTGATGCAGAGACGTCCTGGGTTATCTGGGTGGGCCTGATGTCAATCAAGGTCCTCTGCAGGGGAGAGGCAGGCAGGAGAGGGCGGACTGGCACCGGGAGGACTCAACTTCCCACCGAGGCTTGGAGGACCACAGGAGGATTCTTCTGGGGTCTCGAGAGAGGGGCCAGCCCTGCCACCTGGATCTTAGCCCAGTGAGACCCATGTTAGAGTCCAGACCTCCAGAACTGTGGGATGACAGATGTCACACAAGGATGGCCCTGGGAAGGAAATACCACCTCCATGTAGGGCTGCCGATTCACGATGCCCAGTCGACTCTAACTTCAGGTGAACGAGAGTGAGATCTACTGATACCCAAGCCAATTTCTCATTTACCCGAAGTTCAAGTTTAATGGCATGTTTTGTGTGTGTGTGTGTGTGTGTGTGTGAGAGAGAGAGAGAGAGAGAGAGGGACTCACTAGAGCTGGCGTGGCAGCAGGGCTTCCACCACCAACACGCCATCTCCATGCTTTTCAACTTGGGTCCAGCCCACGGTCCATCATTGAGCCCTGGGTGCTGAGTCTTGGAGCCGCAGGGAGGATGTGGGTTCAGGGCCACTGGGGAGCCCCAGGAGAAGGCAGAGTTCTTCTGGTGCACAGTGACCTCACTAAGGACACTAGGGCAGGAGCCGCCCAAAACGGCTGGGTGAGTGGAACCAGGGACAGGTCATGGAAGGTGGGTACCTCTTCTCTGACAACACAGGCGCCCCAGGGCAGCCTTCACCTCCTTGTTCCGAAGGCTGTAGATGAGGGGGTTCAGCATGGGGGTCACCAGGGTGTAGGACAGGGACACCACCTGCTTGCTCTCAGGAGAGTAGCTGCCCTTGGGGCGCAAATGGATGACCCCCGTGGTGCCATAAAACAGAATCACCACGATGAGGTGGGACGCGCAGGTGGACAGCGCCTTGAGGCGCCCGGAGGCCGACGGCATCCGCAGGACAGCGGCCAGAATCCTGGCGTAGGATGTGGCAATCAGGCAGAAGGGAATGAACATGACCAACACCGTGGCCGCCAACACGTTGGCCTCGAAGACCCTGGTGTCTGCGCACACCAGGCTGAGCAGAGGGGCGATGTCACAGAAGAAGTGGCGGATGCCACGCGGCCCGCAGAAGGGGAAGCTGAACAGCCAGACGGTGAAGACCAGCGCCACGGGGACTCCCGCCAGCCAGCAGGCGGCGGCCAGCAGGCGGCACCGCCTGAGGCTCACCAGGGCGCCATAGTGCAGCGGCCTGCAGATGGCCACGAAGCGGTCCCAGGCCATGGCGGTCAGCAGGAAGCACTCGGACGTGACGCACCACAGCACGAGCAGCAGCTGCAGGGCGCAGGCCGCGGGGGACACGCCACGCCCGGGCCGCAGCAGGGTCAGCAGCAGGCGCGGCGCCACGTCCAGCGAGAAGCAGAGCTCCACCAGGGCCAGCTGGCGCAGGAAGAAGTCCATGGGCGCGCGCAGGGCGGGGTCCAGGCCGGGCAGCAGCGCGATGAGCGCGTTGCCCAGCAGCGCCAGCAGGAAGAGCGCCAGGAAGAGTGTGGCCAGCAGCGCGCGCAGCCTGGGCACGTGCGCCAAGCCCAGCAGCACGAGGTCGCGCGCTCCGCTCTGGTTGGCCCAGGCCAGGGCTGCGGGGCCGCCCGGGGGAGTGCGGGCCACGGGCATGGGCCAGCTGCAGGGCGCGCGGCCGGCCCAGGAAGCCTGGGAGGGGAGAGGATGGAGAAGGTGCCCGTGAGGCCGTGCCTGCTGCGCATGCGCCTGGGCGCAGAGCCCCAGGGGTCTCGGCCAAGGGCAAATCAGACCCGTGGTGAGCAGGAGCCAGGGAGGAAGTCAGAGGTCCTCACGAGCTGGCCTGGCCCTGCCTGCTTTTCTGGACTCTGGTCCGGGAGCTCAGGCCCCCACCTCAGGGCCTCTGCCTTTCTCTCCCCCCACCTGCTCTTTCCCGGGGGGCTTGTATCCTGGTCCCCCTTTTAGGGGCTCCTGTGTGGACTAGCTCTCGGCCACCTCTGCACACCGTGTTCTCCCACACTTGTGCTTGCCAAGCGCAGTTGTGAAGACCTCCTCCGTGGTCACCATTTCCTTCTCACCCCACGGCCTTTGTACCTGCTCTCCCATGCCCTTGAGATGCTCTCCCCATGTGTTTGCATCATTGTCCCTGTTTCCTTCTCTTCCTGCCAGTGTCCACTAAGATGTCCTCCTCCTCGGAGTCCTTTCCCAGTGACCCTACTGAAGCAACTCCCCAGCACAGAGGCCACTCCCAGGGAACCATCTGGGTGTTTTTAAAAAACCCTGAAGTTGCTTTGTTCATTTGGTACTGGCCAATCTGCCTGCCCCACGGAGAGCACAGGGGCCAGAGGGCTGCTCTGCCTGGTCTGGCAGAAGAGTGCCCGGCACATAACAGCTCAGTAGAACAGTGTGTTACAGGGTTGGGTCCCTCTTCCAGACAAAGGAGACACCCTCTCGCACACAGAGCCGCGAGATGTCCATGGAAGGCAGAGAGGAGCACACCAGGTGCAGCCCTGGGGCTGGGTGCTGTGTCTCGCTTGCCCATCTGGGACAGGACACCCAGCGCTGACCACCCCAGACTTTGACCTGGGCTTCGGCCTCTGTCCACTGCCCCCAGCATCCCATCAAGCTCCTCTTCCGTCCTAGGTATCTGGTCTCCCTGACCTTCCTTCAGCAAGAATCCCAGTCAGTTTAGCCAAAGGCCCACCCTGTGCCCTGGCTGTGGGTCCCCTTGTCCATCTCATATCAGAACTGAGCCTGGCTCTGCTCTGGTCACCTTCCCTACTCACCTGCTCCTGCGTGAGGTCTGGTTGCAGGCCCTTCCTGCTGTCCAGCATGAGCCAGCGCCACAGCCCACCGCAGAGGAAGCTCTGCAAGGCAGAACCTGCTCCCTGCCTTGCGGGACGTGGTCCACTGCGACGTCCCAGGACTGGAAGGCTGTGATGCCAGGAGTCAGCACACCCCCCTTCCACATACACCAGACCCTCCGTGGGGGGCAGGAAAACCACGGCCGTGTCCCTGCTCTTTCCAGCTCTACCTGTCCTACCTTGTTCTGTAAGTGCTGGGTTTGATCCTGTAAGTGGACCTCAGCTGGGGGTGAGTTAGCCCCTCGGGGGACCTTTGTCATGTGTGGTGACATTTGTTGGCTGTCACAACAGGGGTGCCACTGGCCCCTAGCAGGTGAGGGACGGAAATGCTGGTAGCATCCTACAGAGCACAAGGTCCACCAGCATCATGTTGGCTCTTTGGAACCAAAGTGACTTTAGCCTCCATCACGGGGTGGCTGCCCAAGCCCAAGGACACCTGAAGCTTGAAACACAAAACACCAACCAGAGGGAGAGCCACCGACAGCCAACGGTCAACGGGAAGGGTGATAACTGGGGCAGCAGGGCTCTCAGCCAGGGCCCAGGATGGCAGGAAACTCGGCTCTGAGGCAGCTCTGCAGTGCTGGGGCGGGCAGTGTCCACCCCTGAGCTGTCTTCCTGCCTGAAGTGTGATGAGCAGTGATCCGGCTGCTGCCCCTGGTACTGTGCCCCCACACAACAGCCTCCACGCTGTACAGAGACCACATCCTGCTGCGCTCCCCTCTAGAATCAGGGCTGGAGTTCACACTGGCCCCACTGCTGTCTAAGTGCAGAGGGAGCTATTCAAGGCTCGCAGTGAATATGGTTGAGCCATATAGAATACCATACTGCAGGGTAAAAGGAATGCATTCTAGGTACAATTAAATGGAAGGTATTCGGAAAGTATTATGCCCCCAGAAAGCAAGGGGTGAATAAGAGGAAGGTCTCATTCACTTACATAAAACCCCACCCAAAATTATATGGCTGTTTTTCTTCAGCTCCAAATATATTTATAAAAATGCCCAGAAAATGTATGGAAGAGTATTCCCCAAACCAAGGAGGGAGGTCCCCTCAAAGGGGAGGACTGTAACTGGTGGTAATCGTCAAGCAGAACTTTACACTTGTCTCTTTAAAGTTGTGTTAAGAAAATGTATTTGCCTGTAGCAGCGAAATTAAAAACTACCAAGGTTGATTCCACTGCTGTCTATAAAACTGGGCAGAGTCAAAGAGTGACCCCAGCGTAACACCCTGCGACAAGGCACCAGTGTGTCCAGGGACAGCTGTCCCAGCATCACACTCAGAGGGAGCCCCAGGCTCTGTCCCCCCACAGCCTGTCTCCCTGCCCCTTCATGGAGAGCCCGCTTACCTCTGCTGCTCCGTCTGTCTGGTGCTGAGGACAGAGCCCCAGCCTCCCCGCTAATCAGGAACTCCTGGGACCCCAGGACCTCTGCTGCTCCGTCTGTCTGGTGCTGAGGACAGAGCCCCAGCCTCCCCGCTGATCAGGAACTCCTGGGACCCCAGGAACCAGAGATTTCAATCTTTGGCTCTGGACACAGATGAGAGCCCTGAGGATTTGCCTCTCAGAGGATCTTGCTCATTACCAACCCGGCACCTCTGTGCCCGTGTGAAGGCAGAGTGTGGAGCCTCTGCAGCCCTGAGGCTGTGGTCCTCGGCACATTCCTTTTTCCAGGGTCTCCCCTCCCAGTCCCACCTGACCTCTGCGCCCATCTCCCCGTGAGAAATCCCCACGCCCCACCCCCTGGTGCTGGAGGCCCCTGATCAGCCCTGCACACCCCCCCCCCCCGGCCTCCCCCGTCTTTCCACAAGCCCCCTACACCTACACCCCAGCAACCCCTGGCCATGCCTGGGACACTGAAGTGGGGCTCAGGCACATGGGGAGCAGTCCACAACCTGGGTATATGGACAGGAAGTCCACTCCACTTCAGCTGGTGACTGAATAAAGGGAAGGCCACTGTAGACCTCCACTGGGTGAGACCAAAGCAGCCCTGGTGCCAGGGCAGGGCCACCTGTGGTGGTGAAGCACAGTGGGTGGGAGGGCCACCTTTGGAGCAAGTCCATGTGCTTCTGGACCTGGTTTCACCCCTTTCTGCTGTGTGACCCTGGCCAAGTGACTTCATCTCCCTGTGCCTCCATTTACCCTCCTGTAAAACAGGATTCAAATAGGACAGACTTCACAGGGTCACTGAATGGATTCCGTTAGTTAGTCCTTCACAAGTGCTGGGGACAGTGGCTGGGGTGGGTGACATGGACACCAGGTGCTGTTGCTTGGGTTAACAGCCTATCTGAGACACGATCCACATGATTTTGAGTTGAGTGTTGGCTTTGACTTTGGAGCTGCTCCCCTCTCTGGCTGTGAGGGCAGTGCTGGTGTGGACACTCACACGGCTCTGTGCGGGCTGCGCTTCCCTGTCTCTTGGGTGTGCCTGGGAGAGGACTGCTGGCTCCTTGGTGCTGTGTGGTGTATCCTGAGGAGCCAAACCATATTCACTTACTCCCTCTCCAGGCACGGAGAGCACCCTCCCCGCGGCGGACACGTGGAGAGAGGACCGCAACCTCCTGTGCTGGTCACTGCCGGGCCAGCTCCCACCGGAGCGCAGCGCTGACCATCCGTGTTTGGCAGATGCCTGATGGAGTCTCTCGCTGGGCCTTGCTGGACTTCCTGCCTTTTCATTTTGTGGAGCAGTTTGTGCATCCTGAGGACCAGCCCTCACCTGTGGCCTGCCAGAGTCCCGCCCAGCCTGCAGCCCGGCCCCCCTCCTGGCGCTGACTGTTGACTTTAGTGTGGCTGCTTTCCTCAGGACGCTCAGACTGTCACATCTGCTCCCCGGGTTAGCTAAGGGGGTGCCTGGCTTTGGAAGGGGTGGGGGCTGGGAGTGCGCTGGGGGCTGGGGGCGGTCCCACAGGCTGCGCTCACCTCCCGCCCACCTTGGAGCTCTGCGCCTGCCATTGGAGCTCCTCCCTGTAGGACCCCTGTGCTTCCGTGACAAGTGGCAGAAATGACCCTTTAAGCAGTTGTGTTGCAGAAAATAAAAATAATAACCATCAGCTGTAGTGGGTGAGCGCCAAGATTCAGCAGTCAGACCTCCCCAGATTGGCCATGGCTTTTGTCTTTTCTAAATTGAGCATGAACATATTCCCTACCTCAGAACCACGTGTGTGGCGGGGGGAGAGTAAAGTGCACCTTGCTGGTGAGTGACGAGCACCCTCCCTGGTTCTTCTCACACCATTGGTAGGTGCTGGCTGACACTGTGTCCCTGCCCACTGGGCCCAGGCTGACCCACCTCCCAGCCTGCAGCCCTGCCTGTCCTCCTGAGAGCGCTCTGTGTGCAGGATGATGGTGTGAGCCAGAAGCAAGGTCCCGAGCACCAGGTGCCCACCATGCACCCAAAGCCTGTTTCACAGTTGCCCTAGCTGTGGACACATGCGTGTGGACACGTGCGTGAGCCACAGGCTGCACTAACAAGAGGCAGAGCAGACACAGCTGCTGGGGACTTAAGTGATGTTTCCCATATAGCCACAAATACGTTCCGCAAATGTGACCCGTCTGTATGCAGGTCACACTGACATCAACGCCCAGGCCTCATTAATGCCCATCTCTCTGCCTCTAGGGATCTGTAAAAAGGGGGCGACATGAGGTTAAGGTCACTAGCCTGGAGTCTTGACCCTGGCTCCTCACTTCCAGCTGCATGTGTCACCTAATTTCAGGTGCCTTCCTTTTGTCCTGTGGGAACTGGAGGTGCAATGCGGCCTGAGGTCAGCCTGAGTCCCAGCTGCAGTGCGTGTGGCCCTTATAGA